TTCTCTGGTTTTATAACACTTTGTCTGAGGAGTATGATAACCTAAGCCATTCCAAAAAGGTCAGCGCATCTGCAAGCCCTCGGGCCAGATGTCCACGGGCTCGTTTGGCAACTTTTCACATAATACATGTTTAATAAAAAAAAATAATACATTTATGCCCTTTTATCAGAAGTATGCTTTATTTTCTTTTAGTTACGGGTTCTTCAAGTGCAAGCTTACGACATGAACTTTTCTAACCTCCTAATAGAATTTCTAAGTGTAAATTTGTGTATTTTTGTTTAAACTTTTGTATAGATATCGTAATGGATAGATCCCAATTCAATGTTGCCCTTAAGTCCACCTGCTTAATCCGAAATCGATAAAGGGGACAAATTGCCTCATTAACTTTTAAATTACCAACGAGTAAGTACTTAAAACATTAAGATTAAATCTAGGTCGTATCCGTAAAAGGTAATTTAAGAATTGCGTAAGCTATACGAAACGTAATTGGAATTGAGTATAAAAGTTTACAATTCATTGACTTACCACTCTGGACTGTTATGATTTTAGAGGTTTTTGAAAGTACTCTGGGTTATAATGCTTTTAAAACTTATAAAACATGGCATTTGTAATCTAAGAATTCTAACGCGATTAGTTTTTATTATGTGCCAAAGTCACTATTTAAGATTACTCCTCTGTTAAATGAAACAGCGTTATGATCACGCATCAGCTTTTGCTGTTAAAGAGACAGAGATTTTTAATAAAAAAATAAGTATGTAAATGATCGTCACACGAACCGCGGCCTTCTGTTTCGGGGCCGCCCGATTACCGAACGAGCTATTATAACATTTTATTTTTGGCGAATTTTACCGTAATATTCGAATGATATTTTTCATTCCCTGAAAACAGGCATAAAACGAGATTTTCTAGAAATGAAACCTAGACAGATCGCTTTTTCGCCCCCGAATCTACGCACATATTAATTTCATGAAAATCGCTGGAGCCGTTACCGAGATTCCGATTATATATTTACAAGAATTGCTCGTTTGAAAGTATAGATAGGATTTACACTTTCATGCGGTAAGTGAGGTTGCCCAACAAGGCCCATCCTTATCCTCCCTGCTATAATCTTAGCGGTATTGACAACCCGATTGGCGTGGGGAGTAGTGACCTTGCCTCTTGCGCCAGAGGGTGTGGGTTCGATCCTCACTACTGGAAAAATATTGTGTGATGAATATATTTTTTCCAAGTGTCTGGGTGTTTTCATATGTATAATATGTATTTATTTATAAAAGAAAAGTATGTTTATCAGTTTTCTAGTTCCCATAGTACAAGCGTTGCTTAGTTTGGGACTAGAGAATGTTGTGTAAAAAATGTGTCCGAAATATTATTTAAGACGGACGCTGCAGCAGATAGCTAGTACTCGGTAAAAGGGGGTACCAGGATCAATGGTTCTGGAGAATCATGTGCTCAAATAAGCCTATTCGTGAACCTTAATGCCTGACATTTCACACAGAACTGCTCTATGCCCCTTGCCTGACATTTGTGGGTATGTCAGAGAGGATATTAATTCTCGACTTCTGGCAGTCAGAACTAAGACTTCTATGGGGTATGCACAGTATGCAGAAGACTGTTTTTCTATAGACATCCAAAAGTGAACATTAAATTTAAGATCCTTTGAGATTAATTAAAATGTTGGTAACTGAAACTCGAATCGCATGGTTCGGTTCCATAGAATATCGCGAAAGTCGGTAATCAATTTATTGCCAGTCTTCAGTCGCCCAATCGTTTCTGTATTCCGCGTTACGCAATTTGCATTGATCCTATGTCTGTAAAGCTACACCGTTTTACAGACGCTTTTCAAACGATCTAATAATTAAAACTTGCTTATTATATTCCAAGGGTTGTCTGAAAAAAAATGACCACTGTACCTATGCAGGAGCTTTGCGGTGCTGTTCTAAGCGCTAGATTGTAGAAGGTAAGCAAATCATTGGTTTCGGAATAGAGTTGTTTCCTGGATATGGTTCCAGTATTGTTAGGTTAGACATACCGACAACAATATAAATACATACATAAGACTAAAATATTTTGTTCAAAACATAACGTTAGAAATCCAAGCTCCATGATGCCATATTATATTTAGGAAACAAACTCCATCTGACTAGCCTAGCTCAGCCCAGATATAAATGTTTTTTTTTTGGGTTAATATCACCTTTCGTTTGTCACGGAGCTAACAATGTGTTGTAATTTACCACTGAAAAATTCCTTTCAAAAAAAATACGCTAATGCATTTCATTGAGAGTTCGAAATTACATTTGTCTTAGGTTGAAAAAAGAGTACGACCACAGCTCTCATACCGTTTCTCTTTAATGAATACGATTTCTTACTATCTGAATCGAATAGATTGTCTAGATTATACATTATTTCGTTAATTAATTAACTTTAAAGCTTTTAAATTTTACGAAAATTTAAAAAGTAAAGTAAAGTAACAGCCTATACATGTCCTACTGCTGGGCAAAGGCCTCCTCTATACAGAGGGTATCAGGGCATAGTCCACCACGCGGCCCCGTCGACAGACTCCGTCGAAAATTGTAAAAAATTTATAAAACTCACGCATAATAAATATAATAATTATAAAGGTAATAGTTATTTATTATCAACTACTAGAATTCATGCTCTAAAAAATGTGTTTTTTTTTTTTTCATTTCAGAAAAGATCTTATGCTCAAAGTTCATTAGGAAGAAGCAATAATTTGCTCTTTTAACTGCACTTTGGGTTTATGATATGATATGATGCAACTCATCCAGATCTTATCGTATCCGTTATGTATAAGGGGCAGTATTGGAAGAACTTAAGTGGAAACTTGCAATCAGCTAAATCACAAATAGCGGTTCCTCGAATTCGGTTACATAAATTATTGTTTTGGCAGTGAAGCTGCCAAAGTGCGAGTCTGCAAAGTCGGATATTAATAAAAATATCAGTGTGATACATTCTACTTTACAGCTAGTAGAACATTTGTAGATTTCGGCTTATTTTTTCACTGGTAATACATTTATAATTAATAGTTACGATGTTTTAGTCAATTTAAAATCACACGAAACATATAACCATAACATATATACCTAAGTGCTGTCGCGATATAAATGGGGATTTTTACCGAGAGATTTGGTAAGCCTATATTGTGTTAACTATGTAACTTTTTTGCAAGTATTGAGTAAGATTATTTTTCTATCTTCCCTGAAGCAAGCACACAAACGATGAAATAATAGTTGGATAAAAAAAAATTAAGAACTTGCAGAAGCCAATACTACATTTTGCTTCGCCGTAAAATTGAAAGTATAAATTGTAACAGTATCCACAGCTTAACCAAAAAACATACCATGTCGCGTCGAAGCCGCGGTGACACTCAGGAAGTACCAAGCTTTATTAAGCTGGATTAAACCAGAAAGTCGTTTCTTGGCAGATTTTTGTATTTATAACTTTTATAAGGGAAAAGGTGAACCACAGATGAGTGTAAATAATTTTAAACATTTTGTAAAAGTGTTTTGTGTATCACAAAAAAAGAAACAACAAAAATTAGATAAATACATAAATAATTTTTTTTTTTTCATAATGTTTCTTAGATCGATAACAATGGCAAAGTGTTTATTATTAGTTGAGAAGATTGTAGTTGAATATTTTGAGTTTTGTTTTTAACTAGCTCGCCCGCTCTTTCACCCGTGTGGTGATGATTTTGATGATAAAAATGGTATATGTGCTGTACAATGTTTTCAGCGAAATTCATTCCATATTAATTCAGCCATTTCAGTCAACAGTTTTGTCATGCAAAGGCGACAAACAAAATATAGCCTATTTGTTTGTCTCCAAAGCTACTTTAGTATTTATTCCCAAACCCGTGGGTTCTGGCTAGCCCACCGGTTCTGCGTCAGATGAAGCTTTAATAGTCTCGCGACTGAAAGCAAAAACATCAGTTAATACAAGATAGTATTTATTATAGTAAATATATTAGTAAACTTTATTCAAAAGGCAAAATTTTCTTCTTATATATAAGTCTTTATACATATAATTTACCCATATAATTGCACAACACTATTAATTAAAATACGTACCTATAATTACAGATGCGTTTTATTTTTTTTGGAAATTGAATTATGGTATTGATTACACTTACGTTTTACTTATGTTTAGAACATCTGTGCAAATCAATCGGATTTTTTTTTTCGAAAAATTTGGTATCTAGCACTAAAAAGATGTGTTTAAGTGCAATTGGCTGGGATATTTGTTCCATTTTGCATGGGACATCACTGTAATTATAGATTAAGCTAATTTTTGAACTAAAATGTATGTTCTGATTTATTATAAACGGAGTACTGGAGAATAAAATGGTGAGGTAATAATATGTACTTCTTACACAATTTTAAAATTATTTCGAAGCTAAATACTGGCCACTCGGCATCGGGGTTAAGTATTAAATAGCCTATTATTTTGCCTTACGGCAAAGACTTACACTGTACAGGATAATAGGGCATAGTTGTTATTTTTTTAATAATATTGTTCGAATTAATTTCTTCGTGTTATGGGTTAGTAGGATAGAACTGTAAGATTACAATTTGGAATTAACAGCTAGGAACATAGAAATTATAGTAATCGCGCGGCGGACGGCCGAGTTCCGGCAACTTGCATATCGTGCACCGCTAAGCTAACGTCGGGATCCGAGACGGACACGACGCGGGAGTCGAACGGTCGCGCGCGCTCGGCTCATACTAAATTAATATCTGAGATCTTCGCCTTACAATAATTTCTCCGTGTCGTCAGTCGAAAATAGAAACAAAACAAGCCCACGCAGATCACAAACAAAGAGAGAGTGGAGGAGACAAGGGCAGACCCGTAGCGGGCGCGCCAGCTTTCACCCGTCAGCTCCGTGGGTTTGAGGCTTGACGCCTACGCGCGTAGGAACTATAGCGAGGGGGGTGGGGCGTGAGAGCGGACGAACAGAGGGGGGGGAGTTCTGGAGGCGCTTAGATGTACATGGGCAGGCCGTACATGGCGCTCCAGTCCACGCCCTGGAACGAGGACATGTCGACGCCGGCTAGCGAGTACGCGGTGCCGAACTGCGGCAGCGCCGGCGCCGGGGCGGGCGCGGGGGGCGCCACGAGCGCGCCCGGCGCGGGCAGCGCGTAGCGGTACGCGTGCGCGCCCACGCCCACCGCGCCCACGGCCGGCACGCCACCCACGCCGCCCACGCCGCCGTACACCTGCCCGCGGCCCGGTCTCAGCACGAGCCGCTTGCCGAGGGCGAGGGGCGCCGCCGCCACCGCCTCCTTGGGCTGGGCGCGCTTGCACTCCACCTTCTTGTTCTTGATCGTGTGGAAGTGGATGTCGCACACGCGCTCGACCGCCTCCTCCGAGTGGCAGGTGACGAAGCCGAAGCCGCGGTGCCGCTTGGTCTACTGGTCCATCAGCAGACCAAGGTCGCCACAGTGTTTTTAAATTGATCGATGAATAAGCACGTAATAATTTTTTTATATTACAATTTAATGCGTAAGTAATAGTAAGTCCCTTACAATTGCATTTAACAATACCATTGTTAGCGCTACCAGGATTTGATGTATTGAGCTCATTGAATTGGACACGATGTATATCCAGCCAGATCACAAGTTGTCCATGCTAAATTCAGTGACTTCAATGATTAGTAGCAATTGAGGCTTAGGAGTCTCGAAGGTTTGTATCCGAGCCGAGCAAACTATTTGTTCTTTTCACTATTTTTATTATCACTAAAACACCTAAAAAAGTCCCTTTTTGCCGTTAATAGCTTTCCCATTAACAGAAAACATTTTAGGGATCATTTGGCTACCAACGCAATCGCTTCTACTTAATCGTCTGATTCGTTTCCATAACGGAGAGGTTCATTAACCTGAATTCCGAAAGAATAAAGCTTTAAAATGTTGCCTCGTGACTGGATTCACATATGAAAAGGGCCCATTCAAATAAAGGTTGCGCGGAAGTGATTAGCAGAAAGCCGGCCTGTACAAAAATGGCGTGGGAATTCACCCGCAATCGAACAACCAAATTTTTCTCGTAGAAAAGTAGTAGCTTGGTAACATTCACAGGGGTTTCTATTAAACACGTTTGGATTGATGATGACGACGACGTAGGGTCAAAATGAGGGTCACTGGCTTTACAAGAACTTTTGAATTTCAAAAACGTCCGTTTTGAAGTATCGTCGTGAAATTGTTATTTTTAAATAAAAAAATAAAAAATAGTAGTTTAAACGCTCACTTTTCCATCGCCGTGTGCGTTGGAAAAGTGAGCTCTACGCTCTACTAACGCTCTATTAACCGATGTTTCGAGTCTGTGTGTACTGTGTCGGCCCTTTCATGTTAACCATGATATACTTTAATGTAGACCAAAAAAGAAAAAAAAAGTACAAAATACAAAATGTTTATCAAATATTCGTCATCAAAAGGCGACATAATTGCTTCCTGTTAGTGAAACCTGAAAGCGATACTGGGATTATTTACACTTGAACGTGAAGAGCCGGAAGTGGAAGACAAAATAATTGTGTCCTAATCGTTAAATCGAATAAAGTAGGCAAGTTTACAGCAAGATATACATGCATACATAAAAATAAAAAATGAGGCATCAGTCTATACAGGTCCCGCTGCTGGGAAAAGGAATCCTCTAAACAGATTATATTAGAGCATCAACCACGTAACCCCCAATGCAGATTGGCAGACTTAATATAACTCCGAAATATATTATTTTATCATTGGGCACGTCTACGTACTCATGAACATGACTAGCATTTAGCTTGGAATTAATAAAATTAAATCTAAGTAGAACAAAACCTCGGGCTCTGGTTGTTTCGTATTTCAACGCAAATGGCATAAAGGGTCAAAGGGATGAAATCGCGGAATTCTTTCGCGATTATAACGTAGATATTTTCCTAGTGCAAGAGACATTCTTGAAACCTAGCGTACGCGATCCCAGAATCGCAAATTACAATATTGTCCGCCACGACCGGTTAGCAAACCGTCTGGGAGGCACACTAATTTATTATAAACGGTCCTTGCACTGTTGCCCGCTCGACATTCCAGAGCTAAGTCAAATAGAGGCATCCGCGTGTAGGTTAGCGCTCACCGGCCACAGGCCGCTTGTACTAGTCTCAGCCTACCTCTCGGGGAATAGAACCCTCCTTCAAAGCGACCTAGATACGCTCCTTAACTTAGGCCCTTCCGTGATAATTGCAGGAGATCTAAACTGCAAACACGGCTCATGGGACATGAACAGCATCCCAAACAACAACGGAAAGCATCTCTTTAGCTTATCCGATAACCTAAATTTCCGTATAGTCGCTCCTGCGACTCCCACTAGGTATCCTACGGTGGACAACTACCAGCACGCGTCACCGGGTGTCCTAGACATAATGTTATTCAGGGAGGTCTCGCTCGACATCGAGTCTATAGAGACTATCCATGAACTAGACTCAGACCACAGGCCCGTCCTGTGTAAACTGGGCCAGAACACCGGCGCGGTCCCTCCGACCAAATCCGTAGTGGACTGGCATCGTCTTGAGGTCAAACTCAAGGCCTTGGACCCCCAGGACTTAGTAGACTTACCCGAGACGATAGCTACGTTCAATGACGCAAATCGAGCGATAGCGAATCTCTGCGAAACTATTACTTCCGCAGTTGCAGACTCGGAACGGACGGTGAAACTGTCGGGCGACCGACGGTTTAACTTTCCGCCCGACCTGCGACTGCTAATTAGACAGAAAAATGCAGCCAAACGCGCCTTCGACCGATACCTATCGGAATCGAACCGAACCCTACTTCGATGCCTTCAGCTAGAAGTCAAAGATCTTGTATCGGAACACCGACACACAACGTGGGACACTCTCCTAGAGGACATCGAGCCATCGCACACCGCCTACTGGCGGTTGGCCCGCAGTCTGAAAGCAGACCCCCGCGAATCTCTACCGCCGTTAGTTAGACCTAATAGCGCTTCAGTAGCCCTAGATGACTCCGAAAAAGCCGAATGCCTTGCGGACAACCTAGAGCAGCAATGTACGCCATCGCGCGAACACACCGATTCGGCCCACCTAACGGAGGTGGACCGCGTAATCGAGACTAGGGCTGCGCTTCCACCGGAAGGCGAACCTTTAAATTCAGTGACCCACGAAAAGGTCCAAGATATTATTAAAAATTTAAAACCAAAATCCGCCCCGGGCCCAGATAATATAGGTAATAAGATTCTCAAAGCTCTCCCTGGGCCGCTTATCTGTTTACTGGCGACAATTTTCAATACCCTTCTCTCCAGTTGCTCCTTTCCGGACGACTGGAAACAAGCCACGGTTATCGGCATTCGCAAGCCGAATAAACCAGCCAATAAGCCCTCCAGCTATCGTCCCATCAGCCTCCTCAGTTGTCTGGGGAAGCTCTACGAGCGGCTATTGTTAAACAGGCTCAAAGAGCACGTATTTTTCAACGGCCTTCTGCCGACGGAACAATTCGGCTTTCGAGCTAGACACTCTTGTCCCGATCAGCTATACCGCCTAACGGAGCACATCCTAAAAGGCCTTAACCACCCCAAACACATTAGTACAGGGGCTCTCTTCTTCGATGTCGCAAAAGCATTCGACAAAGTCTGGCACAACGGCTTGCTTTACAAGCTGTACACACTCAAAGTGCCAGATAGGCTCGGACACACCCTCCGGGCCTTCTTGAACCGCCCTTTTCGATATCGAGTCGAGGGCACCCTCTCCACAAGCCGCCGCCTCACGGCCGGCGTACCACAAGGCTCCTGCCTCTCACCCTTGCTATTTACGCTCTACACGAGCGACATACCTCCACGAGAGACCCCCACGTCAATCTCGCGCTTTTCGCGGATGACACGGCGCTCTTTTACTCAGATCGCAACCTCAGTCAATTAACAACTCGACTCCAAAGCGCCGCCGAACGCCTCGGCGATTGGTTCCGCGGAGAATCGATATTAATCCAGAAAAAAGTGTGGCGATTCACTTTACTCGTAGCACCCCCAACCCCCATCCGCCACACCGTTACAAAGGTCCTCGCCAGTACAGAAAGTTGGGACAAATATCACTATACGGCCAAACTCTCCCCTGGGAGAAAACGGTCAAATATTTAGGAGTCACTTTCGACTCGCGTATGACTTTCACTACGCACATCAATCAAGTCCGAAATAAAGCCGCGTTCGTCTCCAGCCGGCTACACAATTTAACGAATAAGAAAAGTAAAATGCCTTAAGGCACAAATTACTGTTATATAAATCTTGCGTAAGGCCAATCATGTCCTACGCATGCATGATCTTCGCACATATAAATCCTACGCGCATTAACGAAGTGCAAGTAGTTCAAAGTAAGTTTATCCGCCGCGCAACCGGTGCGCAATGGTATCAGTGCAACGTCGACCTGCACAGCGATTGCAGACTCCCGACGATTCGCGCACATTTTAAAGATTTGACAAAACGGTTCTTCGATAGAGCCCAGCATCATCCCAACCCTCTGGTGGTAAGCGCAGCAAACTACCACCCGGACACTAACGCGAACGTAAACAAGCGTCGTCCGCGAAACGTCCTCATCGACCCGGTCGTCGAAGAGGACTTAGACACGATGGACCCACCGCCGGGGGTCCCGCCGGATAACACTACACCCACAGTTCACAGTTCGCCCTCGCCTCCGAGCACGGCGCAGACCCACACAACGCGTACACAAGGTACACCCGCGTTCCGAGGCGGTTCTCACCGCTCCCAGCCACCGATTAGCTAAATGCACAGTCGACGGCCGTCGGGGTCTCGGTCCGAACCGGCGACCTCGACGACCTTTAGATGACACACCATAGTAGTTAAACGTACGCATGAGCACATGCGCGACCCTACCCATAGCGGAGGGTCCAAACCCGTGGGTTCTTGCTAGCCCACCGGTTCTGCGTCCGATGAAGCTTTAATAGTCTCGGGACTGAAAGCAAAAACATCAGTTAATACAAGATACAAGATTAAATCTAAGCACACCAACACTGTCAGACCCCATTAACTGCACCAACTGTGCAGTTAAATTGTATATTAATTAGAAAATTTAAATGTTTAATACATATTCCCATATTCCGACGTTATCGATTTTTGAAGTATTTTAATTTAATCCTTTGAAACTTAAATATATTTCTTCTTCGTGGTCTTCATTACTGAAGGTCGTGTCCGTCCTGAAAATTTTAAGTGAATCGGCGACGAGCTGCTTCCACACCACTCTATCTTCAGCTTTCTTCAACGCAGTGGAAACAGGAAGCCCGGTTATAAGCTTTACTTGATCAGACCACCGGGTAGGTGATCGCCCAGGTGGTCTTTTGCCATCCACTTTCCCAACCACAACTACTTTTTCAAAATTATCTGGCTGCCTGCGGGCGATGTGACCAGAATAAATTAGAATTCGTTGATAGTAAATTGTGGAGAGCCTAGTCTTAATGTTTAGTTGGTCAAGAATGGACTTGTTGGTGCGTTTCGCTGTCCACGGTATGCGCAACATTCTTCTCCAACACCACATTTCAAACGCTTCGATTTTTTTTTCCGGTCCGCTGCGCGAATTGACCAAGATTCGGAGCCGTACAGAAATATCGCGAATACCAGCGCCTTCACTAGTCTCATTTTGGTTTAGTTGGAGATATTTCTGTCTCGCCAGATCCTTGACATTTTGCCCATGACCGCTTTGCCCATCTGCGTACGTCTCCGAATTTCCCTCTCGCAGCCTGATTACTGATCATTGAGCCCAGGTACACAAAGTCGTCCACACACTCCAGATCTGCACGTTCTCCCGTGCGTGGGCATTGTCCAGCTCTTAAATATATATAGAAAAAAAATTGAATTTCTAAAAAGCAATGGCGACATCTCTCGTTCGAATTATCGTTGAAAACGATGTTCAAAATTTTTCGTATGCTGGGAAGGATATAACAATGGATGCGCCAAACATTGCTTCAAATGCTAAAAACAATGTAGATAAAACACGTTGAGTTTTACGTCAGTGTGACAATCAGCCGTTTAGCTTAGTGGATGAACCATCAGGGCGCGAACCCCTCAGACTTGGGTTCGATTCCCAGAGCGGCGAAAAACTTTTCGTACTTTTTCAAAAAATAATAAAATCACCCCATGATTTATTAAACAGGAAATTTGTACCCAATAATATTTTTTTTTTTTTCATATATGGTTTTCTGTTTTGAGAACGTATACTAAAGGAAGTGGTATTCAAGATCTTTCATAAAATGAAAAAGACATTAACGTTGCTTTCATAGCAAATTTTGATATTCTTTATAAATAAATAATGTACATACAATCTAATATGCCATACAATTTGCTTATTAGTATGGGTAAAGTCTTTTTTTACTATGTTTTTCTCTAAACCTGTTTCTTTTTAGATCTTTAGTTATGTAGCCTCTATGCACTCGTTAAAGTTTCCTCAGTTACTCCATTAAAATACAAATGCATAAACTTTTTAAATACTACCTTTTATCAAATTTTAACTGTTATTCATTCTTTTTTTCTTAGTTATTCAAATAAAAATGAAATGTTCCCCCCGTAGAAAAAGTGCTTCTAATGTAACTTGTCACTTGAATGTTGCCTGTTATACTTTTTGAAAAATTATTGTAAGTAATCCTGTTTTATGTCGTCAGAAGAGAGATGGACTAAATCTACAGGCGAGCTACAAGTTGGATAATTGCTCTTAGTTAGAGATCGCAGCCATTATTATCTCTTATCCTTTAAACGAGCAATTCTTGTATATATACATAAAAGTATATATAGATATATTAAGTGCTGGATGTGAGAAATCGCCGGAATATTGAGCATGTGTCAATAAAGACCGATTTTTGTAGCTGAATGTATGTATTTTTGTGTAACCCGTATCTGGTCTGCTTACCGTTGTTGTGAAACTATATTATGTAGGTCGGGGTGGATAGAGATGAATTTAGAGTAAAGTTCTGAGCGATACCAACCTAGTGAGATCAGTCTCGCAATGTGTGACTGTGCAGTAGTAGCGGTCTGCGGCTGCCGTTGTTGGCAGACGCAGGTGTGATTGCAGGACGCATTCCCTGCAAAGCACTTCTCGCCGTTCCATGTATAGTGTTTTGTGTAGGTGTGTCTGTTGTTTCGGCTTTAGCATTTTTTTGACGACCCGAATGGCGTAGTGGGTAGTATACCTGCCTCCTGCGCCAGAGGGTGTGGGTTCGATCCCCACTACTGGAAAAATATTGTGAGATGAACATAGTGTTTTTCTAGTGTCTGGGTGTTTATATATCTATAATATGTATTTATTTACAAAAGAAAAGTATGTTTATCAGTATATATATATCGGTGAGAGCCCGCCTGTTCAAATTCTCAGGTACCAAAGGTTAGCTTTACTAGGTTATTTTACCGGCAGTGAGTATGGATCTATCATAGGCATGTTTAATCGCCTAGTATTTAATTGATTAGGTATTGAACATAATTTAATATTTTATAAACTTGCATGGTTAATTATATAATATATGTAGTGATAGTTCACCTTGAGACACTAAAGTCTAACTGTGCGTTAATTAATACCAATTATTTGTTGCAGAATTAAACCCAATAACCTTGACTCACACGACATCACCTTAATTTACTTAATCTGAATATTTTAAAGACTAAATGAGCGAAAATATTTTTGTTTGTTTGGTTTTAATTTATTTCACTTCGTATGCATTTTTTTCCTTGGATTTCTAACTATGTGTGCATATTTAATCAACAAAACATTCAAAGGGGTATTGTTTATTAACCAAAGGAGAATGGTCAAATATTAATGGCATTTCGGGTAATCATTTTTAATGTTATTTTAAATTAACATTACTATTATTGTCTTTATTTTCGCCTTATTTAATATAATGTCTAACAGAATTTTTATTTGGGTTTTCTTAGAGTTCCGAACCCAAAGGCAAAAACGGGACCCTATTACTAAGACTCCTCTCATGAAACGTGATAGACAGTTGAAATTTTTACAGATGATGTATTTCTTTAGCCGTTATAGCAAAAAATACTAAAAAGTAGAATAAAAAACTATTTAAGTGGGGCTTCCATACAACAGACATGATTTTTTAGCTGTTTTTATAGATGATGTTACGGAACCCACGTAACGTATATGAGTTCGACTCGCACTTGTCGGTTTTTTGCGAAAATATAAGATTTTGTTTCACATTATCAATAAATCTGGAAACACACTTGAACTTGGCAGCGGTATACAAAGTAAACAGATAATACTAGACTATTATCGATTTTAAGTATAATATTTTACATATCTATTATATAAAGAGGAAAGATTTGATTGTTTGTATGTATCGAATAGGCTCCGAAACTACTTAACCCATTTGAAAAATTATTTCACTGTTGAGAAGCTACATTATCCCTGCTTGGCATAGGCTATATAATATTTTCAAAAAATTAGGGATCCTTACTAAAACTCCAATAATGTTACTCAAGGTGTACAAAAATTACCTAAAATATTCTTTACATCGCGTGCGCTGCGAAAACTATTGACGATAGAATAAAGTAATGTACTACTACGACTTTGCAGACCACATCATTATTTACAAAAAGTGTCGCGACAGCATATGTCTAACTATTATAGTTATGCCACAACAAGTGTTCTTTTATTTTAAAATTTTGATTGAAATGCCGCCGCTAACTAAGGCTGTTTATTTGTATCTCGGTATTAATCCTTATAAAAATAAATTACTTCATATTTAAGACTGTTTCAATATCTTTATAAAATTTTTTGAATTATTAAATTCGGACATTCCATTCGAAAAATATCACAAGTTTAAAAATGTTTATATTGTAATTTAACTATCCAAACAGCTTAGTGACTGACTTAGTAGTTTTTATAAGTTTTCAATCACATTTATACTGGTAATTCCTGTTCAACAGTTAGCAGATTATTAAATACTGAGGAAGTTTAATTTTTTTATCATTTTAAAATGCCCAAAAGATCAAGATCTCATCTTTGTAGAAATAGTTCCCAGGCGAGGACATTAAAAATACGTCGGCACAACATGACTCATGTTGTAAGTGGTTTTGCCTATATTTTTACAACCAGCCGCCTGCTTGACGTCCACCCTCCTTGGGAAACAAATACCCAGATTAAATTTCAACTGTGTAACTATCATGGTTCATGAGATACAGCCTGTAGACAAAGGGACAAACAGACAGCGGAGTCTTAGTGACAACCTAAAAAGGCTCCAGAGATATAGTGTTGCACGGTAGAAACGGCCAACTTAAAAGGGTCTCTGAGTTACACCGATTGTATGAGCCACAAAAATATCCCTTAATAGTCGTAATAGGAGAAGACGGTTAGTATTTGACTATTCCTCAGCAAGGAACTGTGCGTAACAAAACTATGACATGCATGCAATTGTATGCATTTAGGTTGATGGTTAAAGCTTCCTGTTTTAAGCCATTGCATTATTACTGGGACTTATCAGGGTTCCGTACCCAAAGGGTAAAACGGCACCCTATTACTAAGACTCCGATGTCCGTCTGTATGTCCGTATGTCTGTCCATATGTCACCAGGCTGTATCTCATGAATCGTGATAGCTAGACAGTTGACATTTTCACAAACGATGAATTTCTGTTGCCGCTATAACAAAAAATACCAAAAAACAAAAGAATATAAATAAGTGGGGCTTCCATAAAACAGACATAATTTTCGGCCGTTTTTATAGATAATGTTGACAGTAGTAGTGTTTTTGACAATATGTAAGTGTAATACTTCTATATTGAATAAAGATAATAAAATATGATTTTTTTTAATGTGATAGAGTGGCATACGAGCTGGCGGTTCACCTGATGTTAAGTAATAACCGCCGACCATGGTAACACCTGTAGGGTTGCAAATGAGTTGCCATCTTTAAGACATTGGCTCATCAAATATCGGTCAACAAACCAAAGATGGGATGATTTATGTCGGAAGCTATGGGAGACCAGACTTATTTGTCACTTTTACGTGTAACCCCGAATGTCCCGTAATTAAAGCGGAACCATTATCTGGTCAACGGTCTTTCGATCCTCATTACGTAATTTCAAGGGTATTTCATTAAAAGATGAAGAAATTCATAAAATTATTCACCAAAGACGAAATATTCGGAATATTTTATGTGTATGATAATTTTTAGTTTTGAAAATTTTGTTAAATACCCGTGCGTAGCCGGGGCGGGCCGCTAGTTATTGATAAAATACAAATATAACTTTGTATTTCTGATATATGGTGAAACAAAATAAAGGTTGCATACATTATCTAATTACAGAGCAAAATAAATGCAGAAAAAAACTGAAAATTGAGCATTTCAGTCGATTGTAGAGTTAAAAATTATATATTGTCACAGAACGCGTGACTTTAAATGGGGAAAAAAACACAGCTAAGACTGATGAATTTTTATATTAAATTATGGCAGTTGAGCAGTTGGTATACCTGATGTTAATTGACATTGACTTCATCACGGTTACCTCACTCAACAGAAGAAACGCGAAAGAATAATACCTCCAATTTGCATCGGTCATCTGTGCGGCCATGGTTCTACCCGCAACCAACTCAAAAAGAGTGTCAAGCTGTACATTTGTAAGTTTAAATTGTTGTTAGCTCAATTTTGTCAGTTTGAGATTTTGCACTTGTGGACGTATTCCTGAGCAATATTTTCATATATGAAATAACCACACCGGGGACATACAAACCTGTGCCCCATGAAAAAAAAGCATCCGCCAACAGACAATTTTTTTTTATTAATTCCGCTGGCAAAACTTTTGTTGATAGCCTAACTAAATAGATAATTTTAAGCATCAAAAGTATTTTTCTATTCAATTCATACATTGGTGTGATAAGCAAAATGTATAGTAATCACTTCCTGTACATAGGTCATTTGATGTCAGTGAATAATCTAATACGTATAAATAGTTAGCGCTCTCGACGATTACATTTAATTCGGGTGCTTTTATCAATCGTTGCAAGTCCAGAAAAAGAAATAATGAAAGGGTTTAAAAACAGCTATAATGCTGTACCGGGCGAGGGAGTAGTCATAAGTGGCATATCAGGAATGTATCCAAAATCCGATAATGTGCAACAATTTATGGAAAACCTCTATAATAAGGTATTTCTTTTTTTTATTATTAAATATTTTTTTAAATACTAATAATAGCAAATAATACCCGTGTAATAGCAAATAATTAATAATAATAAGCATAATGTGTAATAGCAAATAATACCCGTGTAAACGAATATGGCAAAACTTCTGAGCCACTGTTTATCGATCCCCCAATCTTTGTCTTTTGCGGGGGCAGAAGTGGAGCACGCAAATTATTTGATAGTAAGCGATCGTAGCACTCCATTATTCAAAAACTAAGAGGTGAGGGCAGGGTGGTCTCCACGGCAGAAATTACGATAACGAGTTTTTATGTCATATTTTCTCAAACTATATATCTTTTATTTATTCTTTAAATGTTAAAGACTTACTACGTTATATAAATTCCTTAATGAAATAATATTTAAAAAATTATCGATAAAGTTCTTTATATCGATAAACGACAACAAATATAACTAGAATCGAAATGTTGCCACCAACCACAGCCATCGTGTAGCCTATTGGTCCAAGCGTCATGGTAGGTGAACATTTATGGTGGTCCCAAGTTCAAACCTTATTGAGTGGGGTACATCTTTTTCCAATTTTAATTTGTTAATCAATTAATTTATTTGTTTTTATTTCATAAAATGTGGAAAATTAACAAATTAATGAAAAATTATAAAACAATTATTTTTAGTGTTCATAAAAGATTAATTGTCGTTTTAGGGTGAAAAATTAAATATTTTAATAAAAAAAAATTAAAAACTATATACAATATAAGACGTGTTAAAATTTTGAAATAATGAAAAGTTGGTTTGTTATCTGATAAATTGTTCTCCAACTGTTGCGTTCTACGTTCAACAAATACAATACTATTTCGTTGTAATTATTTATAAAAATGAAAAAATGAACAAAAATTAAATGGCAAGTAAAAAAACTATTTACAAAAACGAAAATCACCAAAAAAATAACAAAGAAATGTAGGGATTTGAA